TAGATGCAGATAGTAACTGTTATAGGACTTTTTGAATGTTATTTTGCTTAAATGTTAAAATTTTTGATATTTTTATTAATAAAGTTAATATTAATTTTTATTTAAATTGCATGTCATATTTAGGACTAGAAAGCCTTTTCTTTTCCACAGTAGGTGTTTTTATTTATTTTTTTTATTTATTTATTTTTTCCACAGTAGGTGTTTTTAAATAAAGGGTGAGCAAAAACATATATTGAACACCCTGTTACCTAAGACAAAGTGTGTGTGCTCATGCACATGCCTTGATGTTTGGTATTTATTTATTAAATGCTAAATAAGTCGAGAAGTTATAGACTGAATGTTCTTGGCTTTCAATTAAGTGGTTTTTTTTTTAATTTTATAAATGTAGCATATTCCTTGTTATTTTTAGATTAGTTCTTTTGGTGGTTGTTTTTTGTTTGCAACCTTTTTCTAAAAGTTCTATATAATGATGGAAGAGCCATACTGTCACTTTAAAACCATTTATGCTGGGGCGCCCGAGTGGCTCCAGTGGTTAAGCTTCGACACTTGGTCTGCTCAGGTCATGATCTCAGAGTTGGGGCTCTGGCTCAACGTGGAGTCTGCTTGAGATTCTGTCTCTCCCTCTCCCGCTGCCCCTCTCCCCTCTCAAGAGTGTGTGTGCACGCACTCCCCCCTCCTCTAAAATAAATAAATAAATCTTTCAAAAAAAATACAGATGCTAAGGTTATGGATGTAGTTCACTGTAACGCTAAGATTATGGATGTAGTTCACTGTAAGACATAATAGCATGTTTTCTGTGCCTCAAGGGGTAAAATTTGTTTGAGGGCCTTTTTTTTTTTTTTTTGAGGGCCTTTTCTTTGTCAGTTTATGTCTGGCAAATCTGACGGCAGGACAGAAAAATTGAACTTACCTTTCCAAGTTGAGGGGAAAAAATAATCTGAAACACAATGAGGGCGCCTGGGTGGCTCAGTTGGTTAAGCGACTGCCTTCGGCTCAGGTCATGATCCTGGAGTCCCGGGATCGAGTCCCGCATCGGGCTCCCTGCTTGGCGGGGAGTCTGCTTCTCCCTCTCCCACTCCCCATTTGTGTTCCCTCTCTCGCTGTGTCTTTCTCTGTCAAATAAATAAATAAAATCTTAAATAAAATAAAATAAAAAAATAAAACACAATGAGACATAGAATGAAATATGATTTCTATGTCTTATATGTTATTCTATTCATATGTGGGCTGAAATTATTCTTAGAACAAACTAATTTCTCTGCTCATCCTAAAAGTTTTTATACAATTATAACATACATAAGCTAATTTTCTTAATTCAGAAATTGTAAAGCTTTGGAGAATTATGTCTTGAAAGAAAAGCTCTATATATAAAATCTATAGACAGTGCTAGATGTTTTAGAATTTGGGGTTTTTAACTGACGACCGTCAATATGGCTTTAGGGTTAAATCATTTCCATTTTATGGAAAAAAAGAATTACCTGGTTTTAGATCTAACACATAAAATACAAAATTATGAAATGTATTTAAAACAATTATAGTACTTTTTCATTGGCAGGGGAAAAAACAGTTGTAAAGAATAACTCATTTTGGGGGCACCTGGGTGGCTCAGTTGATTGGGTGTCTGACTTCGACTCAGGTCATGATCTTAGAGTCCTGGGATCGAGCCCTGCACATTGGCCTCCATACTCAGCAAGGAGTCTGTGTCTCCCTTTTCCTCTGCTCTTCCCCTCACTTACTCTCTCTCTCTCAAATAAATAAATATAATCTTTAAAAAAAAGAATTCATGGGCGCCTGGGTGGCTCAGTCGGTTAAGCGGCTGCCTTCGGCTCAGGTCATGATCCCAGGGTCCTGGGATCGAGTTCCGCATTGGGCTCCCTGCTCTGCGGGGAGCCTGCTTCTCCCTCTCCATCTGCCTGCTTCTTTGCCTACTTGTGCTCTCTATCTCTCTGTCAAATAAATAAAATCTTTAAAAAAAAAATAAATAAATAAAAGAATTCATTTTTAAGAATACGACTGAATGTCACAATTCTGCTTGTATATGATCTTTTGGAAACATTGATTCAAGAAAAAATGGTTTTAGAGTGAAATGGAAAGAGTAGTCTCTTTCTCAGCAATTTTCTCAAAATGAAGGTGGCATAGATTTAAATAATTCAGTTAAGGGCAAAAGTAGTATTATGAGATGATGGTTTATACAAAAAGACAAGCTGAAGCATTTACTAATTTAGTTAAGGAATGAGACTGTTGCTGGATGATGAGGGAAAGAACACAAGGGTGTTGTTGCTGTGGGTGGAAAGGAGACAGCAGCTAGACCACTGCAGACACTGTGGAGGTCCGCAAGTGCTACCCCAAATCACTTACCAGGGAGATCATGCTGTTGTTAAAGGCTTCTCCTTGCAGCCCTAGGGAAAGTGTCAACCCCGTTACTGGGAAGTAGTGTGTGGAAGAAAAAAGCATCAGACAAAATGGAGGACCCAGATTCTGTACTGATTTCACCTCTAACAAGTAGTGTTATTTTGGACAGTCCACCCATGTGTTTGATTTTCAGGTTTTTCAGCTGTCAGCAGCTTGGAATAGATCTCTGAAGGCCTTTTTCTGCTGTGTCTGACTCTGAACTTTTTTTTTTTTTTTTTTGCATGAAACACTTGATGGTTTCTGACAATACACATTGTTTCAATGTTTCTTATGAAATTTCTTTTGAAATCCTTATTATTGAGCTGTAATTTCATACCATAAAATTTTGTATTTCTTTTGAAATCCTTATTATTGAGCTATAATTTCATACCATAAAATTCACCTATTTTAAATGCATAGTTTGATGAGTTGCAGCATCACTAAAATCCAGATTAAGAAATTTCTGTCACACCAAAAAGTTCCCTTGTGCCTATGTGTAGTCAGTTCCCACTTTACCCCCAGTCCCAGGTAGCCACTGATCTGTTATTTCTAATTTTGTCTTTTCTAGAAATATCATAAATTGTTTCTTCTATTTAGCATAATGTTTTTGAGGTTCATCCATGTTGCTGCATGTATCATTAGTTTCTGTCTTTTGGTGAGTAGTAGTTCTTTGTATGAATATATACCACATTTTTTTTTTCCATTAGTTAGTTGATGAACAATTAAGTTGTTTTTGTTTGGGGCAAATGTGAGAAATGATGCTGTGACCATTTGAATAGCCCTTCTGTGGACATGTGGTTTCTTTCCTCTTGGATAGATAATAGAAATGGAATTGCTGAATTGTGTGAGATATATATACATATCTATATTTATATTTAACATTTTAAGAAACTGCCAAATTGCTTTCTGAAAATGGCTATGTCATTTTACAGTTCTACCATCAATGTTTGAAGGTATCAGTTTCTCCACATCCTCACCAATATTTGGTATTGTCAGTCTTTTTTGATTATAGCCATTTTAGTGAGAGTGTCATGATATCTCATAGTTTTAATAGTCATTTCCCTAATGGCTAATGCTCTTGAGCATCTTCTCATGTGCCTATTTGCCATTTGGTAGGTCTTCTTTATAGATGTGGCTATTTGGGGCACGTGGGTGGCTTAATCAGTTAAGCATCTGCCTTCAGTTCATGCCATGATCCCAGGGTCCTGGACTCGAGCCCTGCATTGAGCTCTTAACAATATTGACATCTTAACAATATTGAGTCTTCCAGTTCATGAACTTGGTCTGTATCCCATTTTATTTAGTTTTCCTTTAATTTTTCTCAGCAGTGTTTTCTATTTTTTAGTATACTGGTTTTGATTTTTGTTGTTGTTGTTGTTGTTGTTGTTGTTGTTGTTGAGTGCCAGGAGCGTGGAGGTTGGGGCAGAGAGAAAGAATCTTAAGCAGGTTCCACACCCAATGCAGAGCCCAATAAGGGGCTTGATCCTACAACCCTGAGATCATGACCTTGAGCCGAAATCAAGAGTCAGATACTTAACTGACTGAGCCACCCAGGAACCCTTTGAATTTCTTTTTTAAATATTTATCCCTAAGTATTTTAATATTTTTGATGCTGTTATGAAGTTTTAAAAATTTCACTTCAGATTATTTGTGACTAGTATGTGGAAATATAATTGATTTTTGTATATTGATCCTGTGACATTGTTAAATTCCCTTACCAGTTCTGTTGGGGTTTTCTTGATTCCTTAAGAGAGTTTACACAAAAAATCATAAGTAGTCTGTAAAAATGGTGTTTGTGGAAGTACCCATTACTCTTATTCTAGAATGATGTTGCCACAACCTAAAACATTTTTGGAATGTTATTCTTTATTTAGAATTTGTTAGGTTACCAAGCACATAAGAAAATGCATTTTTGTTAGTTATTGGTGGATATTTTGCTCTAATTTTTTTCTTTTTCCCTTTTATTAATCTGTATTGAGGGTATGTTATTTTTATATGTCTATTAGACATTAAAGGATAAAAGTTGGCAGTTGGATATATACACCTAAACTTCAAGAGAAAAGGTCTGGGTAGAGGTGTATGTGAATTGGCAGAGCATAGTTAAAGCTGTAGGACTGGGCGTGATTACCTAAGGGATTAACTAAAAGTTCAACAATCCTTGGAAGAAAAACTGAGGGGAGTTTGAAAAAGGTTTAAGGGGTGCCCTAAGCCCAGGAATCTAGGGGCACCTTGTGGGGAGTATGTTAAGAATATTACTGATTAACTATACATTTGTTTATGAGCCACCTGCATGCATGAAATGCTTTAAGATATTTTTTTTAATTCTTCACAACTATTATAAAGAGTATACAAGAAATGTCTTTCATAAGAAACTGAATCTTTGTAAGATCACTGATGTCTATACCATTTTTTTCCCTTTAAATTATTTAGTTATTACTTGGCATTTTTTTTCTTCAGAGTAATGTGATTTTTAACCACTAAACATTCTAGTCCTCATTTTCTCTTTAATGTCCAGTTTAGTATCTTACTCTGATGCTCTTACCTACATTGTAAATATTACTGACTTTATGAGAGTCTTAACAAATACCTTTATTTTCCCTCATTCCTAGGCAAATACTGTGGTCTGGGATTGCAGATGAATCATTCAATTGAATCAAAAAGCAATGAAATTACAGTGCTGTTCATGAGTGGAATCCATGTTTCTGGACGAGGATTTTTGGCCTCATACTCAGTTATAGAAAAACAAGGTAATTTTCAACTTTATACCACAACTTCCACATTTTACAGTTTCTAAATATAAAAATGAAGTGTTTCTTCTAGTATTTGTTATCTGAGATTAGAATAGAGTAGAAAGACTGAACAGTTAACACATATATAAATGTTACAAATAAAATTAGTTCAGTTTCAGAATTCTAAAAATTAGAATATATTAAATTTATATAAATTCCATACACTTCCCTTTCCATGGTAGAGGAAATACTGATTTTTCACTTTTATAAGATTGGAACACAAATGACAATAACTTTTTAAAAATCTATCAGTTATTGGGCGCCTGGGTGGCTCAGTTGGTTAAGCAACTGCCTTCGGCTCAGGTCATGATCCTGGAGTCCCGGGATCGAGTCCCGCATCGGGCTCCCTGCTCGGCAGGGAGTCTGCTTCTCCCTCTGACCCTCCCCCCTCTCATGCTCTCTCTATCTCATTCTCTCTCAAATGAATAAATGAAATCTTTAAAAAAAAAAAAAACTTTAAAAAAAATAAAATAAAATAAAAATAAAAATCTATCAGTTATTGAAATGTGTCATACAAATTTAAAGCTTTGTTATCCACAGCTTACCATTTCATAGTACTGTGTTAAAGACCACATTACCATTCTTCTCAAAAGAATAGATTCTCTATCCACCAGGAGTATGCTTGGGAGTGCTGAGACGCTACAAAATAAACCTGAGATATTTGCTAGCTTGTTAGTATGGATAGTCTCAAGAGGGGAAATTAAAAGCAAGGCTATTGAGTGGAATAGAATGCAAAATTTACTTGAATTTCTAAAATAAAATGCAAGACTTAAACAAAATCTCTCATGAGTTTTGGTTACTGTGGCATGGATTTGTTTCCTCTGCTCTTAGGAGCACTGTGGTAGGAAAGTTTTAAGAAGTGCTACTAATGGAAGGATATGTCAAACAAAGCAATCATTTAAATTAGAAAATAGATTATTATTTTGATACTGAACAATGATTTAACTAAGAACGTCCTAGGTGTGCAAATGTTAGGCACTGAGAATGACTGAGGGCAATGCAAGCTGCTCCTTCTCAGCTCTGGTGGGCTTGGGGTAAACACCATAGGTCTCATTAACAGTTCCATTTAGAATGTGGTAGAGAAGCAGCTGTTGTGTGGGAAGAAAGGTTTACTTTTTCCTGATTTCTGAGCTATGGAACAAAGTGGGAAGCTTAATAAAATTGCTCTGAGAGAGTGAGAAAGAAGACTCATTTGGATGGAATAATGGAAAGGAAAAAAACTGGAAACATTACACTAAATGACCAATATTTCCCACAGAACCAGGGCAAGTAGAGCAGCGTGGTGGTGTGGAAGGAGCACCCCTGCCCTGCCACATGCTTGCCAGGTGATTGCTGGCCAGTCATTTCACTTCTGTAACCTCTGTGGGTTGGTTACGAAGACGGACTCTAATACATGTGTAGCATCTGTAAGCACGTGACACAGTAGGCATGAAACAAATGTCAGTTTCCTCCTTTCACCACCGTATACACACACACACACACACACACACACACACTCATTCCCCACCATCAGAAGAGTAAGGTAAAAAACACTGAGGGAGGGGCGCCTGGGTGGCTCAGTTGGTTAAGCGACTGCCTTCGGCTCAGGTCATGATC